GAGGTCAATAGTGATTATTCTTGGTGGCAATTGGTTAATGAATAAAATGAAGCAGAAGGCACCTTCTGCTTTTGTACATGAGTGCTAATTTCACTTCTACATTTAGTTTCTGAAATTTCAGTGAGGTATATACCAATAATTTTCTTATGTGTTCTAAAATTGAAGTTGAATAGTTTAGGAGTAGACAAAATTATATGCTCAAGTATCTTCCTTGTGTGAATACAACTGCTGGGGACTCTATATTTGGCCTAAATTGTCTCTGAGATTTTTAGGAAGAAATGAGAAAAAATGCATTTCCAAAATCTCTTCAGGGTGGAAGGTTCCCATTTTTTATTCATTCACATTTCCATTATTATTATTTTTAATGAATGTTACCCAGAGCATTTGTTCCTCTAAAGTTTCCAAACAAAGCCACCAAATATTTTCAGGGCACTATATATGTGTAAAAAAAAATATGATAGCACTGTGAGGAGATACAATAGAGGGTGTAGCTCTAGTCTTCTCCCAAACACAATTCTAGCCTCTGACCTACTGGATCATGAGGTATTCATAAGTAGAATCAAAAGGAGGCTGACAAATTTTTATATGTGCATGATTTCATTAAAGTCCCTAAAGAGGCTCAATCTTGCCACACCTCCATCTACTACCATAAATGAAGAACTATGGTCAGAAGATATACAGCCTAGTCAGAAAGTGTAAAGGTGATTTACCAACACTGTAGGGCAAATAGCTACAGTTAGATGGATAATTTTAGCTTAGTTTTTGTGTAAGGCAACTATGTGGAACTCTGGGAAGAATTTTCTAGGATTTAGTAGGTCGCATTTTTCCTAGTACTGGCATGGCATTGTTGTAAGATCCTTCCTTAAACTATTAGTGTGATTAGGGTTTGGGAAATAGTAGATTAAAAAACCCACCAAATAATACTTTGTCACTTTTCATGTTCTCATAACATTTTTTTCAGGGTAGTTGACCCTTATATGTATTTGCATTTTATTGTCATAGTCTATTCATGAGTACTGCCCAAAAATACTGAATTTAAAAGGTTGCAAAACAGTGAACAGCCATAACTGACTATCCAAGAAAATACATCCTAATTAGCATGTCTTCCTAGGCAAGAGTTTTAGTTATAAAGAAAATATCATAATTCTCAAGATATTCATAATTCTAAGATTTAATAATTTTAAGAATTAATACATAATTCTAAGATTAATTTTAGCCATGGACTGCACTAATTTGTAGAACAATTTAGGAAGATGTGTACAGATATTGAGTAATTTAATTTCTGTAAAACACAAATTTTGTTATTAGGAAAAATATTCATGAAATTCCCATTTAAAAAAGAACCCAGTCCTAGTAATCATGAAAGGCAGATGAATCATAGTACCTGTCTAGAGAATATAAATTGGCTCTTTTAGACTATCTGCTTTAGAAACTGAACTTCTAAAGTTCAATCCCTAAAACAAGGTTTACGTTGAGTTTAAGATTATTGTTTACTTGTCATCTAGCATCAGATTCACTGGCGTTTTCATGGTCTACCTAAATATAAACACTTCCTGTTGCTTTTCAGCAGATTTTATACTTTTTCATTTAAAATGGAGATATTTTTGTTTTTGTGTACCACTTACAGGCAACTTTAAGCCCAAACTGCACAGTGTTTTAAATAGGCTATTTTAGTTGAGTCTAGTTTAAATAACATCCCTCTTGTTCAAAATAGTAGACTGTGGGCAGTTGGTGAAGTGGCAGCAGCTATTTGCTAAGCCCAGATTACAGTAGACTACTTTCCTATTTGTTTTTGTGCTGTATGGCTTATTTTGTGAAAAGGCTGAAAATTCCTTACCTCTTCTTCCTCCTCTTCTTCTGAACTGTCACCATTTCCATTTTCTTCCGAAGAGTCACTGCTGCCCTAAAAATTATATATATATATATATATATATATATATATATGAATTATACACATATATAGCCAACAGCAACTAAAATTTCCCGATGTTTGAAATAAGATAAAATAAAAATACATACTGAAATTGATTAATTAATAAATTTGAAAGATTTATTTACTTAGAATAGTCTCATGTTAATGTGAGAAATATGTTTGGCATATATGAAATGAGCAGTAGCCTGTGTTCAGCTCCACAGAATTGACAATATGTTGAGATATGTTGTATGCAAAAACTAGAGAATCATGGGATTTTTTAAATATGAAAAAAGGAAGGGACCATCAGGCCCAGTGTTTTAATTTTATAGACAGAGAATCAGAAGCTTAAATTGTGTTTTTTCCCAACCAGTTCAATGCAGATCTTGGATTAAGACATAGATTGCACTGCTATATTTCTTTTATAAAGCTTAAATGAAATGATTATTTGGCTTATTACCCAATATAAATTGTTACCAGATGATTCATTTAAATGTGAACTTGGGGTACATTTAAATCATAATGTTCTTCATACAAAGCTAAAGTTCCATCTGAAATATCTTTCCATCTAATTAAAACTTTTTAGAAAAATAAGTTAATTTATACATATGAAGTAAGTGTACAAAAGAAAAATGAACTCATTCAGGAGATTCACAGCACAGCGTCCTCCAAAAAGGTTAGTATGAAATGAGAGAAAAGTAAACCAAAGAATCTGTGTGTAAAAAATGGAATTATAAGTTAAGGAGTTTTAGGGCTGGGGTGTTAGCTCAGTGGCATAAGCACCTGCCTGGCAAGTGCAAGATCCTAAGGTCCTGAGTTTGATCCCTGATACCAACAACAACAAAAAGTTAAGGAGTTTTAAATTATTTTCAGGGCTGGGATCCAACCTAGAGACTCGTGAATGCCAGGCAAGTGCTGTTTACCACTGAGCCACATTCCCAGCCCTGGCTTTACTATTTTTTTAAAAGGAAATGTAAATCTAAACATCTGCAAGACAGTAGAGGAGAGTCTTCATCATTCTACCAATGACAATCCAAAGTGAATTTGCAATTTTCCTGTCTTTTCTGCAGCCACTGCTAAGGGTACCAGGCATTAAATGCATACTCAGCTCCGTATTCTTCTTTTCCTGCCCCACACGTTCTAGATCTGGTTCTAATGGCTCAGCCACAAATCCCATGTGGATAGAACATGGCTGCAGAAGGCTTCTAAGCTCTGCATTAAGAATCAGATGGGAGAAACATTCATGTCCTCCTCTTGCTGAACTGTCCCTGCCGGCTGTCATCCACCCAGGGAAAGGGAACACTTAAAACTTCAGTGTTCCCAGCCAAGAAAAACCTCAGGTAGAGGGAGAATAATTAGGCCTCCCTTCAGTGCCATGACCTTAACCATTGTGCCTTCAGAGCCAGGCAGGCATGAAGCAGATGATTGTATTTGAACTATTTCTACTTGTTAGTTAAATTAAATATAGAGGACAGTATATTTACACAGTCAGAGCTGTTTTTCTCAGTGAGAGTGTTCTAGCCATTCTACATGCCTCCCCCCGCCCCCCACCCCAGTTCTTTCCGTAGTTCAACCACACCACTTCTCAATCTGGAAGAACGACTTCAACTCTGGGTACAGCGACTTGAAACCCAATGTTTTTCTCTTTTCTCCCCTCCTTTCATTTATGCTCTTGTGCCAACTTGTCACTTGATCCTACTGAACCCTGCTAGCAGCTAGGTAAGCTACAGGAGACTACAACCCACGTGACACATTTCAGAGAGGTTGGTATTTCACAAATGATTGTACATAAACAGATTTGTCTGAATAACACATGAATTTCAAAGCCAGTGCTGCTTAATGCATTTGAAGGCGACAATGTTGGACACTATAATTTAATATAGTTAAGGACCATCAAACATTGTAAAATAGGAAAATAAGTCATAAATACTAGGTTGACCACTGTATCAGGAGATTTTTTTTTAATTTTAAGACAATTATCTTACAAATTACACTTTAGTTGGGATAAACCTACTATATATAATTTGTGAAAATTTTACATATTAAGGTTTCTGAATGTTGGGTCTATCGATAATGAAAATGTAACTTCTCCCAACATCATTTTCCTCTGGATATTTTAGTTGGACCACACATACATGTCCATAAAAACATCTACATCTACATGAGGATACATGTATCTAAGTATCAGATACTTCAGAAAAGTTGAGGCGCTAGTCACAAACTTGAATTTACTATCCTTTTTCTTTAGTTTAAGAAAGGGAGCAAAGTTCTAAGTAAGCAGTCTATTTCTGGGCCTGAGGTGAACCAAACAATGGAAGACAATTCTGAAAACCCACAGTTCTTGTATCACTTACGCTCATATTTTTGTGGCCACACAAACTCCCGTAATTATGATGGTGCTAGAAATACTTTCAAATGGCCTTCTTCCTACCATGGTGTGGGGTCAGCCTGACGCATGGTGAGACACAGCGCCAAGCCACGGTGCTGACACAGCAATCTGAACATCTCAGCTGCTTCTAGGGACCCAGGAGTTCTGGGTCCCATGGGGCTTGACTGGTGCCCAGATTCTCAACTGTGTAGTCATTAAAACAGTGGCATCTGGCTTGTTACACACCACACCCTCTAGCTTTCAAAGGTCCTCTTCACAGGTAACCTGGCAAAAATGGAAACTCTTATTTTTAGTATTACTATGTTCTGTTTTGTTTACAATTTTTAGGGATGTTTTGGTAATCTCACAAGCTGTTTAGTCCACCTTATGAATTTTTCCCTTTCCTCTGACGTTCTTGAGCCACATGTCCCTTACAATTCTGGGCAATGTGTGACTGACAGCTCTCCTCACCTGTACAGGCTAAAGCATCAGGGAATTTCAGTATTGACCCTTATCAAGGTGTCTTTCTAGGGCCATTGCTGTATGTGAAGTCAGTTTTTACTCTTACTAGGGGGAAAACTCTGAATCATGAGGTGAGCCAGCTGTGTCACACTAGTGACTCAACTGTAATGTGACAATGAACTCATCTTGGGCTTAATTGTGAATGACTGAAAAAGTTGCTCTAGTGAGCAATCTTTCTGGGTGAATCCATTGGGAGTTGAATTCAAGTGTTTTGATATTACATTTGATCACATTAAGTTGTAATAGGTGAAAAAGAAAATTAATTTTTATACTCACCTGAAGTGCAAATCGTTTTAGAGGAGGGTAAAAGTAGCCATGCTTATAAAGATAATATTGTGGCCTGTATTTAAAGACCTGCACAAACAAAGCACATATCATATTCATTTTTGAGGCTCAATAACTCCAAAGCACAAGTCTAGACCAATGAAGAATGCTGTAGTTACCCCATTTTCTTCAGAATCTTCTAATTTGATTCTTCTATGCAAATTTTTCATCTGTTTACAAGAGAATTCAATTATTATATATACTCCCTTCTACACAAAAATACTAAATTAGAAAAATTACCAGGCTTTAATAAAGAACTTACTGAGAATGCACAGGCCATCCCCAAGATACTGAGAAAAATGAAGGCAATCTTCATTTTGACGATGATTTCTGCAATTAATGAAACAGCAAGGTTGATAAATATTAAAATTGAAGATCTGATTTTTTGCTCATACCAAAGATGAAGTATTTAATTTGTTGTCACTTGTGTCTAAATAACATTTTAGCTGATTAAAGCCAAATTTCTTGGCTGGAGATGTAGTCCAGTGGTGGAGCACACGCACTGGGTGAAAAGCACCTTAGTGTTACTGACAAGGGTAAGTCACCCACATGGACTGAACTGGGGGACTAGTTTGGTACACTGTTGCTTTGTACTTAAAGACTAGGCAGAAACTGAATACAGTATGGTTAAATGGTTGCTTTTGTGTAGTGACCTACAGGCAGCTTCCAGTTTATATGCATAAGTCTTGCAGTAAAATTTCACTTGTGAAATAAGAGGTAAGATTGTTTTGCTATGAATATCTTAGAATAACTAGTGCATGTGTGTGTGCACCTGTGCACATGCACACACATGCATGCCCATATGTGTGTGGGAGCAGGGCATGACATATGAAGCACTAGTCTCATAGCTTATGACTCTCAATAACCATGACCCAGGATGATTCAATGAGAAGAAGTTCTTCAGAGTCTCCTGTTGTGATAGCAGGGGTGACTTTTCTCAAGTGAGACTGGCCTCCAGCTCCATTTGGGATTTTTGTCTGTCAGCATGGGAGACTCTAATAGGACAAATCAGAGATCCCTGCAGTGCTACTTAGGGGTGGAGACTGCAGTCCTACGGCACAGCTGATGCAACTCTCAAAGTACAAATAGTTTCTAACACCCCTGGGCCTTGCAGCCACATAAAGATCCTCATGTCCTCACAAGAGCCTCGTAAGTAAGAGGACATAGTGAAATCCTACCCTATTTTAATCTTATTAAAAGAAATAAAATTTAAAATCAACTCTATCAATTAAAAATTCTATCATCTAGAGGGTGAACAAACTTAGAGGAAGGCTCACTAATGTCCGCTCACTTGCATTTAGAGACATATAACTGACAGAACCATCTCGAACCTACAGACAGTTGGCAATATTTTGGTAGCAATGGATAATGATGCGAACAATTTCCCCATAACAGACTTCAAAAACACAATATCTAAAATGTGCAAACCCCTTGCCATATATTGTATATTGAAGCTAGGTTTTGGATTTTGTCCTCATCACCCAAGATCCGTGGCATCCATACCAAACATCTGATCCTCACACACATACACAGAGAAAGACGGGGCCTGGCTCCCAAGTCACACTCTGTGTGTGTGGCAGAGCGCACCTTCAGGTCGGGATGCCTGCACACTTCCTCACAGCCTGCTCTGTCCACCTGTTAAAGGAGCTTGCATGGCTCTGTGGTGTCATAAGCAATGCTCTAACCTTTGCAGGCCACGGTGGAGCCCAACAGCAAACACAAAGAGCATTGTTATGCAGCACCATGAAAATGCCTGGCCGATGTACAATATTTTATAAAACTAAAATCTTAAATACATAGAACTCTGGAAAGAGTTCATGATTACATAAATTTCTCATAAAAGTCATAAAAATAACTAGATGAAAACATGGCAGGGGCAATATTTTTGAAAGAACCAAGTGGAGCAATTGCCTGCCCCATAAATCTTGTTTTATTTAGTTTGTGATTCATCAAAAAAAATAAGCACCTCTGTAGTGACCACCAGTAACTCAGACATTCTTAAAGGATTATTTTGAGAATCAAATTACAAGTTTTTATTGTGAAGAATATGATAAGCTACCAAAATAACTCATTTCTTCTATACTATATATTTTCCCTAATGATTTTTGAGTTATAGGAAGCCTTATATATAATGCCTAACATATATCTAAAGTAAAGACTAGGTATAAGTTGTACAAAAATTCCAGTATACCCAGGGAAATTTACAAATGCAAAATAATATTTCAGTTTTATCTTAATTGCATCATAATGAAAGAACAAACAGCATTCTATCATAAGCAGAAATGGAGAGCAAGACATCATTTTCTAGCTCATGATTCTAGAATTAAGAGCTTGTTTGCATACTTAGGTTAGCCATCTAAACCTTTGGAAAGAGTCTAAAATTAGAGGGTCTAGTTTAAGGGTAATCAAATAATAAATCACATAGGTACTCTACACATTACAATGAGACTCACGTTTCAATAAAAGCTCAAAGCCAAGACAGAAATGTGTGTGTGCAGTGTCTGGTCTTAAGGGCTGAAGCTGTCAGATTGCATCTTACCCTGCAGCAGTCCTGGAGCAAGCAGACAGGCTGACCAGTGAGGAACACAGATTGGGAGCTTCCTCAGCCCTCTCACTCATTCACTCTTGCTCGCTATAAACCTTTGTTTGTCTTTCAGCAGCCAATCACGGCCATGACCAGGGTGATGTCAGAATGTGGGTTCTCACCAGAATACCCCCAAACTTCAACACTTTTTCAAGACACAGGCTTGGCTGAGCAAACATGAAACGTAGTTCCAGTGCCAAGACGTTTGCATTGTGGAATTTAATTGAAGGCTTGGATGAAGATGAATAGTTTGAATTCCAAATATATATAATAATATACTGGATTTGAATTAAAATAAATAGCAAAAGATTTAACCATTTAAAAAGTTCATAGTTACACAAGTTTTGAAAGAAAAGAAGACTGACTCTCATCAGACACAACCCTGTATGGATAAAAGAAAAAAAAAGAAACTAAATAATTTTTTTTTTTTTTTTTCAACCGGGGATTGAACTCAGGCCCTTGCGCTTGCCAGGGAAGTGCTTATTCCACTGAGCCATCTCCCCGGATCCAACAATAAGTCTTTTAATATTAGTTATTTTGCTTTTTATTGCTGAAATATGCTTTCGTGAATCGCAAATTAAAATTGACATAAGTAAATTAATCAGATTTTTATGAGATATATTTGCTAAAACTTCATGCTGACTTAAAATTCTTTTAAGGATTCAGCCCTTGGGAGGTAGATTTAATTATTGTAAAACAAATTTTTTAGACCTTTATTTATGTAGCCTCTTTCTGATATGCAAATGAGTTTACTTTATTTATTTTAGGGGATTCTGCATAGTTCTTGCTATTCGTTTCTGTACATAATTATTTTTCTGTAAGCATAGAAAAATCACTAAAGCTGAAAGTAGCAAACTATTGCTATTGAAATTATTCATGAAAAGCAAATGCTAATAAATGGATTGGTGGGTGAAAGTATTAATTTTTTAATATTCAAAGGGAAGTCTAGCTACTATGCAGCTTGCATACTTTTGTCTTTTTCTTTCTTGTTCTTAAAGGTCAATTTCACTTTATTCTTCCTCTGATTATGAGGTCTACTTCACAATAATTTGAGAAATGAAACATAATAAATATTATTGCATACTAGTCACCTGAAAGGGTCTTTGGACTCCGAAGAAAGGTGTTTCATCAAAGCTGCCTAAAAGTGTAGAATCATAAAATATATGTAGGATTGTCTCTTTTAATTCAGCTTAACCTCACAAATTTACTTCCATTTACTGATCCTTGAATTACAGAGTAGACTGTGTTATAGGGTAGCATAAGAAGAAACAAGGAAGATCAACACATTAAAAGAAAATCCAGGTCCTTATCATTATAATTTTCATAGTTTTATAGGGAGAAAACCATAAAGCTGGAGGACACAACAACAAAAACATCTGAAAGGTTCAGAAGTGCTACAGAATGCGGAGGTTCAACTGCAACCAAAAAGCAGTAGAGCAGGATCTTTACAGAGATCAGAAACTGTCTAGGTTATCAAGAGGAAAGAGATTGTCAAGAAGAAAGAAGCAGTTTTTTTTTTTTTTTTTTTTTTTTTTTAATTTATTTTGTGTATGTGTGTCCAGCTCAGCCCACCAGGGGGCGGGGGTGGCTGGCATGTGGTGCTGGGGGATTGAACCGCCGTCCCTGTGCTTTGCTTAGCTTAGCTTGTTCTAAGTAGGTGCTTTAGACCACTGAGCCATCTCACCAGCCCAAGAAGCAGTTTTAGGAATGGACTCAAAGGTTGTGAAAATGTATGAAAGCACATGCATTGGCATCTTATATCGGGGCTGACGTGCTAGTTCTCCAATTGCACTATTCCACTCATTTTACACACACACACACACACACACACACACACACACACACACACAGAGAGAGAAAAAAATCTGAGATTGTTCCCACTATACAGATGAAATTAGTGAGATGTAGTAATGGAAAGTATGCCCTGGATTCTACAACTAATTAATGGACTAATCAAAAATCAAAGTCAAGTCTAATTTAGCACTCACAATCACTGCTATCTTTGCTGGTACATTCAGAAAACTTTAAGAATTCAGTAAGCTGGAAAGTGTAGAGTGGAGGCAGTGACAAATGAGATGATGGGGAGACCTGCAGGTCCCTTTAAGGACTAGGGGCCCCATAATAGAGATACAAAAATACGGAAGATGAATTTCTCTTAGTTCAATGAGAAGAAAGTTTTGAACTGTAAATTAGGAAACAACATTCAGATTTGCAGTTTGAAAAACTCATTTGATGATAATGCACAGCTGAGTGAGGAAAGCAAGGTTGTTACGGACGAAGCAGACTTGAAAAAACTTTGTGTGGTTCGAGAGAGCCTTGTTGGATTCCGGACACAGGCAATAGTAGTGGGCTTGGAGAGGAGGGAAAATGAGGAAGATGGTATCAGCGGAACTCTCTATATACAGACACATAAGATAGCTAAGATAGCTGTTCTACTAATTTCTATTAGTTTATTGAAAGGAACACCTAGTGCTATATTGTTTGATCAATTTTGCGTGTCTGTATCTGGGAATTTAAGCAACTCCTTTGAAGATAACAATATGCAGTATAATAACCATTGCTGGTTTCTTATCATCTTGTCTTGAAATTCTGTAAAAGTTCTATTGTTTTCTTTCTCTCTTTAAAATAAAAAAGGAATAATCTATAATAGTAGTGGGTTATCCACATGACCAGCGATGTCAGAAGTTGTGGACTTGAGCCTTTTATAGTTCAGCATATTAATATGGCTTCAC